TTGAGACAGGGTCTCACTGTGTAGTTGAGACTGAAATGGAACTCACTATGTAGCCCAGGCTGGTCTCGACCTCACAGCGATCCTCCTGCCTCAGCCTCCCTGGTGCTGGGATTACAGGCATGTGCTACCACACCCAGCTTATCTGTGGTACCGGGGATCGAACTTGGCCCTTGTGCTTGCAAGGCAGGCGGTGGAACCACTGAGCCAAATCCCGACGTTTTAGAAAGCCGATTTTGCACCGTTTTATTAAAACGTCGATCATCACACCTGAGCTGGCACTGCCTTGGTAGGACCTCATCTTACCTGGACACAGAGGTTTACAGATACAGCCGCAGTTGGGGATCCCCTTACCATCTTGCCACTGACTGTGGCCTCTAGAGAATCCACCAGCTCGGCCGTGACCCCGATGAGGTTGTGGTAGTCGGCCTGGATCTTATTGTACCGCTTCAAGTACGTCATGGACCGGCGCTCGGCATCGACCAGCTGCTGCTGCAGCCGCTGCAGCGTTTCTAGGGGAGGGTGGATGCCAAGGCCCAACGTGAGAACAGCGATGATGACAACCACAGAATAAAAAATAACTATATTTTTCTCCAAGGACCACACCCATGCTTAGAATATTTTGCCCTATCAATGAACTTGGCACTAATTTGTGCTTAAAATTTTTCCTTTCTTTCTTTCTTTTTAGACAGAGTCTCACTATGTAGTGCAGACTGACCTGGAAAGCACTATGTAGCCCAGGCTGGTCTCAAACTCACAGCAATCCTCCTGCCTCAGCCTCCAGGATTACAGGTGTACCCACCATGCCTGGCTCTTAAACTTTTTCTTCTATGTCATGCCACAGGTATTTACAAAATGCTTTGTAATCACTGATTTGAAATTTGTTTGCAGAAGTTCAAATGAATCATTACTAGGCTTCCCAACAAAATCTCTTCCCTTGACTGAACCCAATGGAACTTCTTTTAGTTTTTTGCTCTACCTCTAAGAAACAAAACCAATGTTTCCTTCTAAATTTGTCTCACAAAATGGATGTGTCCTTTTCCCTGTCTCTGCACTATGATGCTGTTTGTGGGCCACGTCCTCTTTGTGGGGTAGTTCTTCATTTTAATTAAAAGTTAGGGTTGCTAGGGCTGGGGATTTAGCTCAGTGGGCACCATGGCTGCCTTGCAAGTGCAAGGACCTGAGTTCAATCCCCGGTACAAAAAAAAGAGTTAGAGCTGCTAGACTAATCCTGGAAAAAGTAAGGATCCAGGGTGAGGCAAGCTTTCAGTGCTTGTTCAAACAGTGTTATAAAGCAAAAAACCGTTCTACCAGGCCTTCATGAATGTGGTGAGGGAGGCACAGGGCTCTCTGCTGGGGACCCCTCAGGCAAAGACGAGGCCAGGCCACTTGTGATACTTGAAAGCCTGCATTTCAGAGAAGATTTCATGAATACACGGAGAGAGAGATTTAAAAATTATAAAGATCAAATCTCTCCCACTTTCTTGCTTGGTAAGTGTAGACAAAATATTTAACTTGTCTGACTCTCGTATCTTGATCTGTAAAATGGGGATGATGATATTTCCCCTGAAGGGTTGTGAGGATTAAATAAAAGAAACATAGTCAAAGTTATCTAGCACAATGACTGGCCCACAGCAGGTGATCGGGAAGGGGTGGCCATTGTTACATACTCCAGGCTGGACTCAAACTCAGGGAGATCCTCCTGCCTCAGCCTCCCAAGTGCTGGGATGACAGGTGTGGGCCACCACACATAGTGAGAGAATTTTCTACTACGGTATTTTCTTTTTGAGGGGTGAGGTTTGAGACAGGGTTTTACTTTATAGTTCAGGCTGGCCCTGAACTCACTATATGGCCAAGGCTGGCCTCCAACTCATGGCGATCCTTCTGCCTCAGCCTCACAAGTGCTGGGATTCCAGGCATGTGCCATACTAGGGTATTTTCTTACCTTCAAAAGCTTATGGAAACTTCCTCCATGAAATTTTATGATCAAGACACAATGAATATTATTAACCAGCCATTCCATTCAAACACCACTGCCTGAGTCTAGCATTTAACTAGACTGGGGGCATACCAGCAGCCCTGGCTGTAAAAGTGGGTGACAAGTAGCTGTCACTGCCAGCTCTGAGCACTGTGCCAACACCGCACCATGGTCTCCTCAGCCAGGGATGCACGCTGTGCCCGCTGGGCCCCACTGCATGGATGCCCTGCTGCTGTCCTCAGGAAACCCCGCTGAAAGCAAACCTGAAGACTCGGAAAGCGCGGCTCCCTTCCTGAGACCCCAGAGGGAAGCGGGGAGAGGCCCAGGCTCTCCTGTTCGCACTCCCGGCCCTGGTTACCTGGTCTGCAAAGCTGGGCCTCTCATGCAGACCTAACCGGCTATGCTCAAAACCGGACGGGGCTTCTCCGCACCTTCCTTCTGCCCGCCATCAGGGAGGCCAAGCCCACTCTCAACAGGGACTCAGGGGGTCCTGGTCTCCGGCGTGGAGGTGTCTTTAGATGTCTGACCCCCACTTCCGGGCAAGCTGTGGAGAGCAGGTCGCCTCCTTTGGCTGCCTGAGTAATGTGCTTGTGATGCACTGAATGAGGTGGAGGTAACAGTCAGTCACTTCAGAGGCCGGCCTAGAAAAAGTGACCGCTTTCACCTGCTACTGTCCAGGGCCTTCTCCCCTGGAACCTGCCACCGTGTCCTGGGGCACAGGAGATCTCAAGGCCGATCTGATCGCCTGGGAGATGCTCTACCGATTCCCTCCGGAACGGCCTGATCGAGCCCACAGCTCCCAAACAGGCAGAAGAATGATGATAACAGAGCACAGCTATTTTGGGCCCAAGTCCGGTGCCAGCCAGGAAGGCGGCAGGGCAAACCCCAAATGCCTGGCCCGACCCAGGACCGCAGCTGTGCTGGGTGTGGGGAAACTGGCAAGGGCCCCCCAGGCCATGGAGGGACCTCTCCTGGGGGCTGCGCTCCAGCCACACGGCTGCCCAGCCACCCTTGGTCTCTAGGTTGACCCCGCGAGGCCACCGCCACCTGTGAACTCGGAGCGGTGGGTGGGCAGCTCAGATGGCAGGACCAGCCCTGATTTGGAACCACTGGGCTGGCAAGGGAACGTGAAGAACATGGGAGCAAGGAGCAGGCCGGGGAGGGAGCCTCAGGCGCCTCGAGCCAAGGGGAAGGAGCGGGCGTCTGAGGCGGGGGCTCTAAGAGCCGAACACGGAGATGGGGGTGTCAGACAGAAGCGGGGTTCTGTGGGGAAATGGAGAAAAGGCTGCATCGGAGAAGAACCTGGAAACATTGTCTGTGCCGAGCCGGGAGCTGCGGGAGGCCATGCTCAAAGGCGATGACGGGCCACTGGCTGGCTCAGGGATCCAAGGCAGCAGAACAGAAACAGCCAGGAAAGGAGTGGCACTGGGTAAGAGCGCGCCCAGGAAGCATCTGCCTGCGTCCAGCAGCCAGGCCTCCCCCGGCGCAGCAGTTACGGTGCTGGGTTTGCAGCATGTGGGACGCGAGGGTGACAGGGTCACAGTGGCTTCCTCTGAGAATTCACAGGGTCCCTGCAGTACCCCCATGGGGCTCCCAGCTCCCTGGTGCCGCAGCAGCCCACAGCCTGTGACCCTGATGTTTTCCCGCTCCTGGGCACAGCCTCTCACGCATCCCGAAGCATGGAGCGTGAGTCCTAGGGCTCACAGCTCAGCCGGCCTTGAGTCTCGCCTGGGTCTTGGCCTGGGCCTTGGAGCAGCTCTGGGGACAGAGTGAGGATGTTTCCACCGCAACAAGGACGCAAACCTTTCGGAGCCGGGGACAAAATGCCGTGCTTGGGTGAGTGTCCCCAAGGTGCAAGTGTCAGAGGCTAGGTCCCCAGGGTGGGAGGTGGGGACCGGCAGGCTCAACCCACATCTCACTGGAATCTCTAGAACTGCGAGCTAAATAACCCTTTCTCTTTCCCAAGGTAGTGGCCTCAGTCATTTCACTACAGTGACAGAAAGGTGAGTGACACCTGAGCCGACTGGGGTGAAACAAACGTCCTGGCCTTCCTACAGGACACCATCACACCTGCCTCGACAAAGCTGAGAGTGAAATAGCTTATAAGAATATTTCCTTGCTTTACAAAAGATTAACTTTCTCAAAAGCCCCACCCCCACCCCAAACAATGGCAGCAAGTTTTAAAGTCCTTCTTGACATTCCTCTCCTTTGAAAAGGGCAACTATGATATTTCACAGCCCAGGAATTCCATGTAGCAAAACTCCCCCTGCTGGGAGAGGAGGGTTCTGCCACGGAGACTTATTAAAGGCATGAAGCACATCATACCCTTTCCAGCAGAGGAACCTAAGCAGTTCTCAAAATGCAGAGCCACGTGGAGCCTGGTGGTGCATTCCTGTAACACCGGCACTCAGGAAGCTGAGGCAGGAGGACTGCGGCAAGTACAAATCATTCTTTCCTCACCTACACTGCCATGTCCCACAGAGTGCAGCAGTGGCCTCCTCTGCGACATTCCCTGGACCCTGCACACCTCTCCCCACCTTGGCTACTTCAAACTCAAGAGGAGCTCACACTACAGCCATCCCGAAAAGTGGGCCCCGAGGCAGTGCAGACGTTTAGGCTTGTGAAAGCCTCACTTGCTGAGGCCACACCACAGATTCTCTCCCTTTCTGCCCCCACCTCCCAGTTTAAAACTCGACCTGGAGAAGCTGTCCTTTCAAAGTGTTTCTTTCAGATGATTTACCTTTGTTGTGTCGTCCATTCTCCTTCTGGGATGAGAAAGAAGTTCAGGAAAACAGGCATTCGGCACACAGTGCTCGGGGTGTCAGACACTGTGCGCCCAACCTGAAAGGGCTCAGCCTGTGAGCAGGAGTCTCAGGGTGGCGGCCAGGTTCCAGCAGTTCCTGAGACAGCAAGGACGCCCAGAGTTTGGCTGCTTCGCCCCTACAAACCCTTCTCTCCACCCCAGCCACCTCAAACCATTCCCACAGCCTCCTACCTGGCTTTCCTTATCCCTTCCAGCAGCCCCGCGACTGCTACCCAAACATGTGAAAGGCAAGTGTGAGCTCCGCACTCACAGTACCGGCCTGGACCTCGCTGTCGCCCCACAGCCTCACGCACTCACAGGTGGGGCTTTGGAGGTGACCGGATCATGGGTGATACGGGTCGCCCACAGATGGGGCTAGCACAGCTCTGGGTGTGGGTGATGGATCTGCTGAAGAGGGAAGACCCACCCCGGATGTGAGTGGCACCAACCAATAGGCTTGTAGCCTGGACGGAATAAAAAGGGAGAGGAGGAGGAAGTTTTGCAGCTTCCTATCTGCCATGCTGCCCTACCTTGGAGCCAGCCAACTATGAACTCTCTATAAACTATGAGCTAAAATAAAAATTTCCTCTATTTTTTGTTGTTGTTGTTGTTTTGTTTTTTGAGACAGGGTCTCACTATGTAGTTGAGACTGACCTGGAATTCACTATGTAGCTCAGGCTGGTCTCGAACTCAGAGATCCTCTTGCCTCAGCCACCCGAGTGCTGGCATTACAGGCATGTGCCACCACGCCCAGCTTCCTCTATCTCTCTCTATTTATTTATTTATTGGTACTAGGGATCAAACTCAGGTCCTTGCCCTTGCAAGGCAGGTGGCAGAACCACTCAGCTAAGTCCCTGGCTTCTCCTTTTAAATGTTGGGTGCCAGGTATTTAGTCCCAGCAACACGAAAGCAACCAAAACTCTGCGACACTGTAAATTTAAGTCCACAGCTTTAACCCAGAGACACTGAGATTCGGAGGAAGTACAGTGGCTAAGGCTACAGACCCGGAGCTGGACTGCCCAGGTTCAAATCCCAGTCCCCGCATGTCTGGTCACACGACTGAAGGCAAGTTATTTCCAAAAGCGCCCCCCCACAAATCGTCTTAATTTTTTGGGAGGAGGTTAGATGGGGTCTCGCTGTGTAATTCAGGCTGGCCCTGAACTAACTATGTAGCCCAGGCTGGCCTCAAATTTGTGGCAATCCTCCTGCCTCAGCCTCCAGAGTGCTGGGATTACAGGTGTGCAACACCACACCCAGCTAATTTTATCTTGAATTTTTCTCAATTATTTTGGTAATGGCAAGTTACCAATACTGTGCAAGTCACCTAAAGTACATTTCAGTGATTTTTAGCATATTTCCAGAGTTGTGCAACCATACCTCAATTTTGTTTTTGTCTTTCTTTCTGTGGCCCTGAGACTAGAACTCAGGGCCACGAACACGTGAGGCAAGTGCGAGGCCACCGAGCCACACCCCTGACCTACACCCAAGCTTGGAACCTTTGTGTCACACCCAAGAAACCCTCTGCCCGTCAGCCCCGCTCCTGTCGCCTGCCCCCGAGTGCACTTCGTGGCAGCTTCGCCTCCTGTGCCGCTTTCATACGAAGACCCTCGTGCACTGCGTGGCTTCAGGGCCGGGCTTCTCTCACTCAGGTCCGTCTACACTGTCCGGAGACCAGTGCTTCCCTCCCTCCTGCACTGACGAGTACCTCACGGTATGGACAGACCTCACTCGGAGCGTGCAGACACCGGCTCACAGATGGGAGTTCGTGCTTTTTGCCTACTAGGGATAATGTTGCAAGGTGCCGAGAGAAGGAAGGTTTTCATTTCTCTATATGGCAACGTACCCTCTGAGGTAGCTCAGCCTGGCTTTTTTGTTTGTTTCTTTTCTTTTTGGGTACTGGGAATTGAACTCAGGACCTTGCGCTTGCGAGGCAGGAGTGTTGCCACCATGCCTGGCTTGTTTTGAAGTAACTTTGGACACCCGCTTGTTCCAAATGGCAGAGGTGCCCTCACAGACTAACAGCCTTGGGAAATCTGTCACTGTGGGTGGGGCGACTGAATGCCCGACTGTCCCCTTTGTACTCTCAGGGGTCCCCACCGGAGCTGGATTCTGGTGACAGTGGCACAACTGGGTGTGCTGTCTGTAGTCCCCGGCCCTGGGGTACCCTGGGTCCTGGGCTTCTCTAACCACTGCTGGTCTCCCTCACGTCAAAAGGATACATAGATTGTGAAAAGCTTGGGTGTGTTATTAACTTTGAAAATCAGGGCCAGAAACTTCTCAAGCTTCGACTTTAACTCCGGAGTCCAGGAATCCTGAAGTGAAAAAAAAAAAAAAAGGAGCACAAGATAAGAACACTCGTTTGTCAAACAGCTCTGCCAGTGACGGAAGCTGAAAGGCAGCTGTCTTGTCAGCAATGTGACAGTGCCCAGAGCAGGCAGGCCTGGGGACACGGGACCAATGGATGCATTTACAGGTGATCTGACTGCCCCGGCAGGGAAAAATACCTGTGTACAATTAGAGTACTTCATATCATTTAAACACAAGCACTGTAATCCCAGCACTCTGGGAGGCTGAGGCAGGAGGACTGCAAGTTCAGGGCCAAGCTGGGTGATGTAGTGACTCGGTAAAATTGCCTCACAATAAAAAATAAATATGGAGCTGGGGATGTAGCTCAGCTGCAGGGCCCTGGTTTCAGTCCCCAGAACTGCATTTAAAAAATCTTCCACCCAACCCAAGCATTTCTACCCCAAAGCAGGGATGTAAAAACTTCAAGCCTGCCATCTTGGTTCCCCCATCCCTGCAGCCTGGTCCCTCCTCCCACCCCACCCAACCATCTGTCCCACAGTCATCTGCTAGAGGAGCAGAAATTCCTGGTTTTGCAAAAGATTTTTAATTCCCTGGCACTGCCTGGGAATTCTGTCTGCAATGTGGGTTGTCAGGGGTCTCGAAATGAGAACATCCTGACCCTGGGGCCTCAGATCCTGAGGCCACTGGGGGTGGGGTGGTGGCAGAGGCGAGCGTGGATAAGACGAGGTCTGAACGTCACCGCTGGACCTCCAGGAGGAAGGAAGGGCAGACAGCGGCACCCAGGAAGTGGCCATGGGGAGACGGAGGCAGAGACTGGAGTTAGGGGCCACCGCCAGGTGCAGCAGGGAAAGGACAGGACGGACGCACCTCTGGGCCTTTGGAGGGCCGTGGGCAGCCCACCCCTGACCACAGACATCTCTCCTCCCGAACCAAAAGACAGAGGAATTGTTTGTGCTGATTTACTACCAGCTTCTCTGGGTCCTTGTTAGGGAGGAGCTGGGAAGGCGCCACCACGTTCGTCAGCTCTGGGCTTTCTGCACTTGGCCACCTGGCAAGAACTTCAACAGAGGGCTACGCTGCTGGTCAACATAAATCAAGACATCTTAAAAACAAACTAGCTGGACACGGCGGCGCACACCTGAAATCCCAGCACCCCCGGGGGCTGAGGCAGGAGGATACCAGTTCGAGCCTAGCCTGGGCACACTGACCAGACCGTTTCAAAATTGGAAAAAGTTGAAGAGGTATGGGGAAGTAGTTCCATATGAAGGCTCTGGGTGCAATCCCCAAGTAACATAAAAAAATAAACACACAAACCACCACCACCTACCAGTCCTGGGGACATGGGGACCCCCCCTCGGGTTCCCAGCTGGTGGCTCAGCACATCCTGCACAACCAGCATGTTGTGCATTTGCACTTAATTACTCCCATGATGCTGCTCTGCTCACGACAGGGACTAGGCTAGGATGAACCCCCGGGGCCTCACTCCTCACCTCTTCCAGCCAATGTGCTGTCCCTGCGCTCTCAGCCTGAGAGGGACACATCCCAAGTCATGGGGACCAGCCACTCACCCTCTCCGTTGCGCTTTCTTCCCTCACAATATGTGGACTTTAATGTGGACTAGTGGCCGCTTTCTGATCATTCCAAATCCCATGGGGCGCCCTAATACCAGAAACGAGTCGCAGCAGGTGACAGTAGAGGTGCGGACAGGGCAGGCTCCCCCAGCCAGTGGCCTCCTCCCCCTCGCAGAGCCTGAGGGTCCCTTCTGCTCCCTCCAGATGCTCTACCTAAGCCTGAGGCTGCGGAACAGCCCGGGACACACACAAGATTGATGTGACCTAACCGGTCACAGGAGTCCCTGTTAATTCTGCAGCATTTCTGCAAAAGACCACCCGCTGACACCCGAGCCTGCAGAAAAGCACTTAAGCGGCTTTGGGGAGAAGAGTGGGCCACGGCACCTGCGGATTGGCCCGCTGATGAGTTTATAGACAGTGTGCTGTTGGCAGGTGTAGCCCGTGGAGGGCGTGGTCGTGGGGGGCGTGGCCTGCACGGTGGAGGGTGTGGTCACTGGGCGTGGCCTGCAAAGGGTCTGTGGCCCTCCTCCTGCCTTGATCCCTGCCTTCCTGCTGCCTCTCCAGAAGTTCTTTCCCCTCTGCCCTGCTGCCCTGCCTCGAAGCCAGGCGGCTATGGCCTGAAACCTCTACAAACTGTGACCCGAAAGAAACTTCTCCTCCTTTAACTTGTGGGTGTTGGGCATAGCGTCTCAGCAACAAGAAAGTAACTGTGACACTTGACACCAAGTTTCCTTTTCTGTCAACACTGCGGGGCAGATGGTCTGAAAAAGCAGTGAAAACAATGAAAAGACCTGGCTGAAATAGAGGCCACTTTTAAAGCACACCCATGAGTGACAGGAAGGCGCTGTGGAAACACAGAGTGAAGCCAAAGCAGGAATCCTGGGACTAAGGTGCATCGGAGACTCTGCCCTAAGGGAGCTGCGGGACCTCGGGGACCCTCATCTTCGGGGCTGAAGCTGTTGCGGGGATGGACAACAGGAACGGCACTGGCAGGAGGCCCAGTGTGGGCCCAGGGCTGCGGCTCAGGACAGGAGACAGACGAGGAAGCCACCACAGAGAGGCTCACGGGAAATGCCTGTCCCCACCCGTGTGAGGCTTCATAACAGCACTGAGTCCCATGAAAGACCACAGCCGAGACTCACACTACCCGTGAGGGCCCCAAACCTCTAGAAATTCATTTAATTTCAAACAGTCCTGAGTCAAATGTAAATCTCTCCCAAGAGAACCAAACTGGACCAGGACTCAAAGAAATCCCTCTAGTCCTAGGGAAAAGGAACTCATTGTCAAGACCAAAAACAAAGCAAGCAAATATGAAAAAGCAAAGGAAATCATCAAATCTGCAGACTTCTGACACTGAAATGAGCTGAGAATACAAAATAAATGTTTACTAGGTTACAGAAATTAGAGCAAGGATCAGACAATCAACATGACCCAATAAATGTGAAAAAAGCCAGAAAGAATTTCCATTAAAAAGTTCACTGGGCTGGGGATTTAGTTCAGGGGCATCACAACTGCCTCACAAGTGCAAGGTCCTGAGTTTGATCCCTGGTACCAAAAAAAAAAAAAAAAAAAAAAAAAAAAAAAAATTCATAACTGAAATTACAAATTCAATGAGAAGGTGAGAGAGCAGATTGGACACAGCCAGTGGGTGAATCTATGAACTACAAGACCAAGGTGAACGAATCACCCAGAAAGATCAAGAAGAAATGGAAAACATAAGCTGTTAAAAGAAAAGGAGGGGCCAGCACCCTGGACACACAATGTGTACTGAAACAGACACTTAAAATGATCAGAACAATAAACTCTGTTGCGGCTATTTTTACCACAAATTTTTAAAGATGAAAAAATAATATGGAGGTATAATGAGAAGCCCGACGTACCTATGACCAGACCCCCAGACTGGGGGATTGAGGATGGAAAGATAATGGAGGAAGAGACACAGGTGAGACTTTTCCAGAGTTGCTGAAAGGTGCAAAACATCACATCTAGGAGGCCCATTAAACCCTGAGTGCAAACAGAACTCTCTCCCTGACTGAGGGGAAGGTACAGTCCCCGAGGCCCAGGACAGAACTGTGCGAACTAAGGCTGCTGGCTTCCCAAGGGCCACCAGGGAGTAAGGACGCGTGTGTTACAAAGCTTTCATGTGACCAAAATATCATGTTGTATGGCACAAAAAAGTTTGTGAAAGCAAATTACCGTATGTCTTGGTACTGAGGATTGAGCCCAAGGCCTTCACACTGATTCACATTCCCGGTCCTGTTTTATTTATTTACTTATTTTGTTGTTGTTGTTTCGAGACAGGTCCTTACCAAGTCACTAAACTGCCTGGGCTGGGGTCAAACTTTCAATCCTCCTGCCTCAGCCTCCCAGAGTGCTGGAATTACAGGTGTGTGTCACCACGTCCAGCTCGAACACTCTTTCCAAGCAAATGGAAGAGAGGTGGCCAGGGGTAGGGACAAGGGTGGCAGAAAGGGCAACAGAGGCAGTTCTCAGGGTAATTAAAGAAAAAGCTCTGTATCCCGCTTGTGGTGTCATGGCTATGTGAATCAACCCATGTGGTAAAATTCACAGAAGTGTATACGTTCATGTTCTTGTATTATGTTTAAAAAATTACTTTAAATTGCCCATCAGAATACTCACCTCCCATCAAAATGGGTTGTTTTGCATTGTTTTCTTGTAGCACGGGCATGGAACTCCAGGCCTCTCGCTTGCTAGGCAGGTGCTTTATCCCTGAGCCGTCCCCAGCTCTTTGTATTTTGTATTCTGATTTTGAGACAGTCTCACTAAGTCGCCCAGGCTTGCCTTGAACTTGAAGTCTCATCTGTGCCTCCCAAGCAGCGGGGTTACAGGGATGTGCACCGAGCCCGGCTTGCTTGTAAATCTATGCTATCGTGGGTGTAGATAGTCGGAAAAGCTGCCAGTGTGTGTTCAGAAAGGGAATTCCGCAGCGCATCTGGCTTAAGTTTTGTCCACGTGGCCGTCCATTCATCCTCAGAGGTGTGCGCGCTCTGCTCCATCCATAACAGTGATGTTTATTTATGCCCTTCTTAGTGATGTATAACTAGGCTGCTTCCAGCCTTCCTATTACAGTGTTACTGCGGAAATACTCTGTCTCTGACGGTTTACATGAACAAGAACGCACATCGTAGCTAGTATAGGATGGCCGAGAAAGGTAAACCCAAAACTACCTAACCCCGCAACAGGAGACAGGCTAAATAAATGAGGGCTACAGTCAAAATAATAACGAGGCTGGGCGTGGTGGCCTGCACAGGTAATCCTAGCACTCGGGAGGCTGAGGCAGGAGGATCACCATGAGTTCCAGGGCAGCCTAGAACAAAGTAAGACCATCTCGAAACAAAATGGTAACAATGAGAATAGATTTTAGGGTTTGAAGTAGCATCGAGACCCCATGAGTGGAGCTGCAGCATCCCCTACGCATGGTGCCACCCACCTGGAAGAGCTCCTTGAAGGAGGGGTGCACCCGGGGGTCGGGCACAAAGGGGAGCGCGTAGAAGGGCAGGAACTCCGTGGTCTGGCTCAGCGCTGCCCCTCTGGTCTCCAGGAAGGATCTGAAGTAGGAAATCCTCTCTTCCAGCTCCCGCTTATCCTGCAGGAAGGAGACGCGAGTCTGAGGGCCCCAGCTCCATGCGGGTCCCCAGGTGCCAGCCCTGTCGCTGGCATCGCCCCCCCGTGGCCTGGTGGGCACACTGCCGCCACCTCGGAGTCACCTGGGAAAATGCCATGGGGGTGCCGGACACCCACCTCCCCCTGACCCTGAGACGTCAGCGGCGGGACACTCGCCCAACTTGGCCACGGCAATGTCTGCGCTCCAGGACCCCTCACAGGGCTTCCAGGGGACAGGTGAGTCCCTGTCCCCACCCTGTCCTTGCCCCGCTCCTTGCTCTCTTGGCCTTTGGTGGGATGAGGAGGGGCTGGAGGTCCTGCTTTCCTCTCCCACACAGGCCTGTTCTGGGGCACACAGGTAAACTGTGGGGGGTTTTTTGGACAGGGTTTCACTGTGTAGCCCAGGTTGGCCTCAAACTCACAGTGGTCCTCCTGCCTCAGCCTCCCAGGAACAGAAAAGACTTTTGCAGCTTCTCCCAGAACTACTCCCATGCACCCTGACCTGTTCTCCTCAGGGGACCTCTCTGGACCTAGGTCATGAGGACCTCTCCTGGTTGATGGATTAAAAAAACATATAATGGGCCAGGGATTTAGCCCAGTGGCATCATGCCTATGCGAGGTCTTGAGTTCGATCCCTGGTACCAAAAAATAAAATAAAAAACATAATGTTGACTGATTTTTTCTCTTACATAGAAACAGAGAAATTAAAAAACAGAAATAAAAACAAAAAATGACCAAGTGTGGTGATGCAACCCTATAATCCCAGCTACTCAAAAGGCTGAGGTCGGAGGACCTCCAAATTCAGGGCCAGCCTGGACAACCCAATAAGACACTTCTGGGAAAAAAACATTTTTAACTCTGGTATATAGCTTGGTGATAGAGCACTTGCCAAGCATGTGTGAAGCCCTGGGTTTAATCCCCTGCATCACAAAATAAATAAAAGAAAACTTCCGGTGACTTCCCAAAGAGATAAAATATCTTGAGGACCAGCCTTCCAAGAACGGCTACTGTGAAGTACTGTGATACTGCTTCCCTGACCGCTGTGCCCTCCTCTGGGGCCCCACACTCTCATCTTACCGGAGATCCTGGGGCAGTGTCTCTGCTCCTGGAACCTGACACCCCAGCCCTCCCCTCCTTCCATCTCCAGCCCCAGCCTCTTGTCTACAAATTACTATTTCTCCACAAATGCTAAGTGCAGGTTCTGACACAGGCCAGAGCAGGTGTTCTCTTAGACGTGTGTGTACAGCAAAGTTACCAAGCTAAGAAACTTCATTTTCATGAGTTTTCAAAAACGAGGTATTTAGGAAAATAATATAGCTTTGATCACAGAAGTTATGAAACCTCCACATGCTAGAAAATCAGATGGGCGTGGTGGTGCACGCCTGTAATCCCTGCACTTGGGAGGCTGAGGCAGGAGGATGCCACAATTTGGAGGCCAGCCTGGACAGAGAGGTGGCCAACCCAGCCCGACCTACCAGTCGACCGGTGCCGCGCTTGAGCGGGTGGAGGGCGAAGTGGATGTGCAGGTAGAACTCCAGCTTCTGCGCCAGGGCGTCCCCGTCCCGCACAGTGATGGGGATGTGCTCCTCCCACAGGCGGAAGAATGCCTTCTGGTCCCCGCCACTGAAGGCGGCCAGGAGCTCCTGCTGCGGGAGACACAGCGCGAACCCAGTGGAAGGGGGCCACCTCTCCCCACGACCCAAACCCCCACCCCCGGAAATGGGGATCCGAGCCGAGGAGGCCACAGCAGGGCAACAGGGACATGCCACATCCTCAACGGGCCTGGGATGGACTCCTGGGAGTCCCACGACACGAGGCCGGGCACAGCTGTGGGTCAGACCATGGACGCCGCCCTCCTCTCTGCAGCAGACAACCAGGGCCACAGCCGCGACTCAGAGCCTCGCTGCAAAGCTCAGAGGGTGCCGCCTGGCACCATTATTTGGCCACTGTTTGTTGTATTTCATTTTATTTTTTCCCATACCAGGGATCGAACTCAGGACCTTGCGCTTGCCAGGCAGGGGCAGCTGCTGAATTACATCGCCGGCTGTGGTTTGCTATATTTTAAAAAATGACCTCACACGCAGTCTTTCTGCATGACTTATCCCTCAGGTGAAATCCTGCCCGCCAGTCAGCAGAAGCTCAAGCGGTGATGAGGTGGTCAGGGGTCCCTGACGCCCCCTTGCTCCAGAAGACTCTGGGGGAGCCTGGGTACCAAGGGACCCACGCCCTGGCCCAGCCCCAAGCCTGTAGCCACCAGCCACAGGGAGCAGAGCCCGAGGCCTTTCAAGGCAGCAGCCTGGCCTGGCAGAGGCTGCACCCGGCAATGCTTCCGTCTGAGCTCTGTTTGCAGTCCTGGGGCCATGAGCCATCATCATCTGTGCCAGCTCACGATTCATCTGAGCTTGGGATGGTCCCTGCGGTCAGACACACACAACCTGCTGCGGCCACTGCGTGATCACAATGTAAGGGTTCCCACTACGCTGTCAATGCCAGTCACCAAGACCACTGGCGACGGCAATCACATGCTGCAGCCTGTGCCTGGTGATGCCGCTCAGAGGCCGCTGGCATGGAGCGAGCTCTGCTGCAACAGTGCTTTTGTGGGAGGTTGGGGGTGCCTGAGACAGGGTCTCACTACGTGGCCCAGGCTGGCCTTGAACTTGCAGTTACCCTGCCTCAGCCTCCTGGGCGCTGGGATTACAGGCTGAAACAGTGCTCTTTGTCTGGGAAATGTGTCATGGTCTGTCACATTAAAGAAAAACGGACCCCAAAACATCAGGGAAATGTGGATCAGAACCACAGGGTACCACACTTCAAATCCTTTGGGATGTTACGATTCAACACAGAGTAACAAGATGGTGAAGACGTGGGTAAAGTAGGAACCCTCATGAACCTCTCTGTAAAACAGTCTGGAAATTCGTCAACAAATTAAAAATGCAACTAACAGCCTGCCAGGCATAGTGGCGCATGTCTATAATCCCCACACTTGGGAGGCTGAGGCAGGAGGGTCACCACGAGTTCAAGGCCAGGCTGGGCTATAGAGTGAGTTTGAGGCCAGCCTCAACTACACAGCAAGACCCCGTCTCAAAACAAACTCCTCCAAAATGGAACGACTGTATGACCACGTCTGGGTTATGTCTGTGAAAACTGAAGCGGAAGTAGTCTTGCAGAGATATACGACACCTACAAGGTGTGGTCAGCAAATAGGTGAACTGGGATTTTGAGGTTTGTTCTGTTTTTTGCCATTAATCCCCCCTGGCTTCAAACACACTCATTCCATCATCCCTGCCACTTTCTAGAGCAGTTCAGGAAGTCTCCTTGTATGAGTGTCTTCGCTTGTGCTGCGGTGGCTGCCTTGATTCAAAACGTTGACCTTTCCTGGTCATTTTGATTCTGGGGGAGAGCCAGAAGTCACATGTTGCCAAATTTGGTGGATGAGGACGCACCATCATGTTTTTATTTGACAGAAATTGCCACGTACATTTGATCAATGAGAGATGATTCTAAAATACAAAATTTTATTGCAGTAAAAGACATATTGCCTTTAGTTTACCTCAAAATACTCCCCTTACTACCACCACATTTATCCCATTGTTCTTGGTGCTGTGTCTTTTACTGTAATAAGTTGGTGTTTTAAAATTTAAACATCATCATGTTTCTCAGTTCCCCTTGTATGTCTATCACAGTATTATTCACAATAGCCAGGAGGCAGAAGCAGTCCCAGCGCCCCCAGGGGAGGTCCGTGGGCATCCACAGGGTGGAATTATTAAAACGTGAAAAACATGGCCATGCGTGGTGGTGCACGCCTGTAATCCCAGCACTCAGGAGGCTGAGGCAGGAGGATCACTGTGACTTCGAGACCAGCCTGGGCTACACAGTGAGTTCCAGGTCAGTCTCAACTACATAGTGAGACCCTGCCTCAAAAAACCAAAAAACAACAACAACAAAAAAAAA